CAGTTCATACTTATCTACACTTTAGCTGAAGAGTTCCTTCCCAATTAGGTGATGGAAAATTAAATACAGATGCGATTCTTGTTGGTGAGCATATTTTTCATGAGTAAGGAACTCTCTATTTCTAGGCCGGTTGACATTAATTTCACGCTTTTAAACAAAAGGGATGTCAAGTCCTGCCACATGTCCACACTAAAAATGATGTTTACCGTCATAACAAATAACAACACATTAAAAACCTATTTAATATATATGAATTATCTATGTTTTTTAATTTCTTCATTGCGATCTATTTTAACATTTTACCTATGCAGCGGATCCTATTATTTTTATCGCTCGTCAATGTTTGAACTTAGTGACACACAACCCACGCTAAGTAGTTAAATATAGTTTTAACACTGGGATGTCGTTTAATTTCATAAGATCCTTACAGTTATGGCTTCTTAAATTGTTTGAAATAAGATCTTTAGCGGGAGAAAGTTAATCTTTAGGTTATTTGTCAATTAAAATGTTTGCAGATTTTACGAGAAAATAGAATCACTTCAGAAATGGCTGGATGCTAGATTCAATGCCCATTAATATCACTGCTTCCACTTCTTCCATGTGCTTTTTTTTCTTCAGGACCTGGGGCGATCAGGGTTCTGCACAACTGCCTACTCCTTGTAGCTCTTAGCAATGTTTGTCTTTTTGATATCTCTCCTAATCCCTGTTCTACCAAACATTTATAGAACTGCTAAGAGTTTTAAACGGGAATTTGCTAGACAATTGGTCAGCGTTTTTATCACACGAGTTGAAGAACGAAAATAGTTCCTTCTATTTGTTGGTATGGGGTGTGGGCTTACGACTGTTGGGGGGTTTAAGGGCGGGAAAAACGACCGGACAGACGAAGCTATTTTTGAGAAAATCGCAATCATTGATAACGCCAAGCCAGACGGATATCGATCTTGTTAAAGTTCCCAACGAATCCGATCTATTTTGAGATGGCCTATCGAACAATCGAAAAGGACAAAGGAAGAAAAGGAAACTGAGAGGAAATATGTAAGGAAAAAATGAATGTAGAAAAAAATAATAATAAAGGAACCATTTAGAAAGAAGAAAAGGAGAGTTAAACTGAGGAAGGAAGAAAAGTAAATAGACTTTGTGGAGAAAGAAAAAGGAAGAACGTAGGGAGGAATGAAAACCGGCAAAATAGACATTGAGAAAGAATCTAGGAATAATCTAGAGAAGGAAATAATGGGAATTAAGTAGAAAGAAAGAAAGAAAGAAAGAAAGAAAGAAAGAAAGAAAGAAAGAAAGAAAGAAAAATAAAGGAAGAAAGAAAGGGGGAATGAAAGAAAGGAAGGAAGAAAAAAGAAACAAGCAAAAGCAAGAAAGAAAGAAAGAAAGAAAGAAAGAAAGAAAGAAAGAAAGAAAGAAAGAAAGAAAGGGAGAATGAAAGAAAGGAAGGAAGGGAGAAAAAAGAAACAAACAAATGCAAGCAAGCAAGCAAGAAAGAAAGAAAGAAAGAAAGAAAGAAAGAAAGAAAGAAAGAAAGAATCAAACAAAGAAAGAAAGAAAAGCGGGAAGGAAGAAAGGCAGGAAGAAAGAAAGAAGAATATAAAGGATGATGAAAACTTAAGACAAAAAAAAGAAATTCGAATAAAGGAAGTACGGAAATAAACAAATAAGAAAACTTATGACAAAGAAAAAAAAATAGAATTTAACAAACAAAAAAGAATTAATCAAAGAAAGAAAGAAAGAAAGAAAGAAAGAAAGAAAGAAGAGTATAAAAATACAATGAAAAACTAAGAAAGTATTTGAATAACGCAAGAATGCAAAAAAAAAATACAAAGCTTTATAAGAACCTACAAAAGAAACAAATAATCCAAGAAAGAAAGAAAGAAAGAAAGAAAGAAAGAAAGAAAGAAAGAAAGAAAAATTAAAAAAAAAACAACGCAAAAATCAATAGAGTCGCTGAGTGACATGAAAGAAACACAGACGTAAAAAAGAGAAAATACGAAAAGAAGAAATAAAGGAAGTATAGAGAAGGTAACCAAGACTGAAAGAAGAGAAGAAGAAGAAGAAAAAACTGTGAACAGGGAAGAAAAAAACAAAGAAATAAAAGAATAAATAAGTAAGAAAAATGAAAAAGGAAAGAACGTAAAGATTGCTTTTTTAAAATTTTTCTCTCCAGCGATCTAACTTAGAAAAGCAAACAAGACTTACAGTTTGTATGATACAGAAATGGCAGTTAGAGTTATTCAGTTGTTTTGTTCTAAGTGAATGTCACTTCATATCGGTTGGATTAGTTTCAAGCTAACTTCTAATAAGCGTATAAAAATTCAAACTCGAACATCCAGCAAGATCTTGAAATTTAATCCTACAACGAGCAACATCTTGAAATGTAGGCCTGCAACTGCTATCAAGATCTTCCAATTTAGCCCTGGAACTGCCAGTGAGATCAGAAAATCTAAGCCTGAAACTGCCAACAAGATCAGTAAATTTAACCCTGGAACTGCTTCCAAGATCCTGAAATTTAACCAACAAGATCAGCAAATTTAAGCTTGGAACTGACAGCAAGGTCCTGAAACCTCAACTTTGGGACCTCCGGCAAGAGCCTGATATCTCGCTGCGAACTTCCAGCAAATACCTGAAATCTCAAACACTGGGCCTCCAGCAAAAGGCCTGCAAAATTGCTGTGTGATTTTGAATTTAGTATCAGACTAGAAATTCTGGATATACGAAACAAATGTACTTTTAAATAGACAATTCCAAATTTTATTTATTTGGTATTATTAAATAATAAAAGTAAATGTTAAATAGAAAGAGAAAAAAACAGCATTTTGTTTGTATTTTTAGACGAGATATTCTCATTGTTAATCCACAAACATGTAGGTTCTTAGTAGACCAAGCACAAAGATAAACCATATCTGGGAATTTCTGACCGAGAAAGAGTATGTACTCTAAAGACTTCCACCAAGTGAGTACAGATATTAAATTTAAAACTCAAAGGTAGTACAATTGGATTATGAAGTTTAGTGGATTAAAGTTTTGCTCTACTTGATGATAATTGCGATTTCAATCCTTGGTTCGGTTACTTTATTTCAGCGGAAGAAACGAGCTGCCAAGTCAAAATAGAGAGAATTGAGTGATACGAGTTATCTCCCCATAGCATGGAAAGCCGAACAAGAACAATCTACCTCTGTGGATTGAATAAAAGTCTCATTGGCAAAATTCCGAGGTTACCTATTATGACAGACACCTGAAGAAGTCTGAAAGATAGAACGGCCAAAATATTGTCAGTATAACCACTAACATGACTTTCTGGGACTTGCTTACAACGAAAAAATGTTTTAGTATTTGTTTCCGACAACTTTTTGCAATATGGCATCCGTTTGGTGATTTTTTTCATCTGCCTTACTCCGACTTTCCATCTGCTGCATTTGGCAGATGATTGATGATACGAGCACAAGAACTCTCTGGGCTTGGTACTTTGACGCACCACAATCTTCACATATTGACCCCACCATGTCGTATTATGGGATACGGTACCTATACTTGATAAATATCTAGCCCAAGTTTTAGTTAATTTCGTTAAAAGACCTACTCAAGAATTTGTTGAAAATAATTATTTACTTACACACACATTCGTCCGCCCACGTTCTCTCTCTCTCTCTCTCTCTCACACACACACACACACATATATATATATATATATATATATATATATATATATATATATATATATATATCCGAATGTAATGAGAACGAAAATAATATATAAATTCTAGCATTCACAGCATTAATTCAAAAGAGAGCTCAATACCGACAGTAGAGAAATAATTATTATTACAATTTTTCATATAGACAAGAACAATTTTACTCACTACAATGATGCAACTTCGTTTCAGTGCATTTAAAATTACACTTCGACTGGTGAGAACCAAAATGGTTATGAACAATTCAATGCAGCTTGGTTACAAACAGAATTGTTAATAAAGATTTTGTTTCTCACCAGTCGAAGTGCAATTTAAATGCATCTTTGTAGTGAGTAAATTGTTTTGCCTATATGAAAAAATTATATATATATATATATATATATATACACTTTTATATATATATATATATATATATATATATATATATATTTTTATTTCACTTAACCCCAAAGCAATAAGACTAAGCTGTTATTGAGCGTGAAACGATATGTAACAACGAAAAAACAATTATTAATCAGAGAGACCAATAAAAGAACAGGAATTAAGAAGACAGAAGATAACGTTTCACATTGTATTTAAATTATATATATATATATATATATGTGGGGGGTGTATCACTAAAAGGATTATCACAGCCTCCTTACCTTCAACATCCCGACTTCAGTGTTTTGCAGTCGGACGCTCCGTGAATCATTCCGTCCACTCGTCAGGGGGTACGAGGAGAGTACTGAAACGATCGCTTCCCAAAATCTGAGGTCTGATATTGGGTCATTGAATAATAATTTTAGAAAGTGGATTGCATCTAGATCTTTACATTTTCCATCAGACCCTCCTTATATATATGGTGGTATTAGTTTATTACAAACACAAACAGACATATACTATAGGTCAACAACTTATGGTCCCCTCTGGATTAAAAAGAAAACCTGATGATTGGCTGCTTTTTTCAAAACTAATTTACTAGCTTACTTAGAGCCTGTGGGACTTCCTCGCCTTCAAGTGTTTTATCATTGATTTAATAATAACAATAATAATAACGAAATTAAGCCATTGCTGCATAAATTAACATTTCACAGACCTTACTGCTGGTCATAAAAAATACGCAAATCTCTTAAGACTGAGATAAAATACTTAATGCTTAAGACTTAATACTTAAAAAAGCTTAATACTTAATACTTAAAATACTTTAAAAAACTTAAAAAATTTAAAATAATTAAAAATATTTAAAATAATTAAAAATACTTAAAATTCTTAAAAATACTTAAGACTTAAAATACTTAAAAATACTTAAGACTTAAAAGTACTTAATACTTAAGACTTAAATCATTTATCATCATCTTCTATGTGAATACCACCATCAGAGAAAAGTGCCATTGTGTCACTACATATGATTTTTTTATGTTTAATTTCATTCCGTTCTAGCATATTTTCCGGAAGTTACATTTACCACATACTTTGAATAATTTTGACAAAATTCTATCATATCTCTCACTATTTTTTTTCACTATTCGGAAAGCAATTTTTATCATACTGCAATATTTAAGCTCACTCCAGATCTCAAGTGGAAACTGGTAAGTACGATCCATCGCTAAAGATGCAGGAAAAATGGCCGGTTCTTTGTACCACTTCAGTAAGCACCTGACTCCTGCTATCTTCTACTTTTACAAGGGACAGATCAGGCCGGAAATGAAGTACTATTGATATATATGAACAGGAACCGCCCAGTTTATCTTTACAGTCTCGATAGAGTTCAAAAACGTCTACGCGGCCTTGTGGGTGTTAAATTGTTTCCAACCTTCCAACCTCTTTCTCACAAACGAAATTTTGCAAGCCTCGCGTTATTCTATCGCTTTTTCCATGGGAAGTGTTCAGACGAACCACATTCCATAGTTCCACCAGTACTAACCTTCCCAGCTAACTTCCGCCATGACCCACCCATTGTATTGAACCCCGTTCAATGCATTGGGGAAATGTAATTTCATTCGAACAGCTTCTCCCCGCTACTTTGTGGAAGTGACTCCCAAGAGGATGCTTTCCTGTTCGCTATAATCTTCACCTATTCAAATCTAGTGTTAACCGTTACCTTCCTTACATATCTTCATGAACTGTGCTTCTTAACTGTTACTCTGTAATCCTCTACATCGAGTGGTTCTTGGGCTTTGTACAGGGTGAAATATTTCGGAAAGTAATTCCTTGTTTTACTGCTATGAATTACGAGTCGAACCAATCAAAGCAGAACCAATACGGAATAGTAAGAAACTGCATCTAGAAATACTTTCTCATCTATTATATCCGACCACGTGTCATTTAGAGGGCATTACAATGTACAATTAAGAAAACTTGCAAAGTAAGTACTTGGATCCTTCATTAGCTTTCGATCGAAAACTGGACACAACGTTCCACTATCTACAGTTGTATTTTAACCAGGAACGCTAACATTTCATTTTTGTCATCGAATTGTTACAGGTGGTGAAAAATGAGTTTTGCCTGTCAGCAGAAAAAAAAAAAACAACGAAAGACAGCGTTTATCAAAATGTGACAACCAGTGCCAACAAAGAGTGTCTCTATCAGCAGAAATCCTTGCTTTGTTCCTGATAGAATATGAAAGGTGTAACATGAAATACACTGTCGGGTTACAAAATGCAATTGTCTCCCTTTGGTTGAGATAAAGTCACGTGGGTCAAGTGGCGGCTGTTTAGTGACGTCACTTTAAAGAGTCACGAAAGGGGCCAGTCCGTGAGTTAACTGCCGGGAGTCATAACACACGAGTTTTTCATTCTACCCGGGTCTCTGCTCGGGTCAACCAGCTGCCACATATTGCAGCTTCCAAGCTTCTTCTTTTATGTGCCGTGTCCCTTCAGGACGTAGGCGGCCATGGCTCTCCATTTCCTCCTGTCCCTTGTAGCTCTCAATAAGGTTAGACTTTTTGTTATTTCTTCCAGACTATGACCCTCCTAAGCCCATTAACTATGCCTGTCCCTCTTTCTCTCTATCCGCCCTGTGAGTACCAGATTTTCCAAGTCCTCCTTTCTCATTACGTGTCCCAGAAATTTCAACTGCCTGTTCCTGGTGTTAAGTATGAGTTTCCTTTTTGTTTGCATCCTCTCCAAAACTTCATCATGTTTAGTCCATGGTATCCTTAGCATCCTTCTGTAGAACCATACCTGTGTTGCCTCGAGTCTCTTGCCCATCTTTAAGGAGATCATTCAATATTTGCTGTCGTAAAGAAGGACAGATATCACGTAGCAGTTCAGCAATCTTCTCTTTGTTACCAACGAAACCCCCCTGTCTTGTAATACTCTGCCTAGCTTTTGGAATCGTCTTTGACCATCCCAATACGTCATCGGATCTCAGGGTCGCACTTGTCGTCCTCTGTCAGAACAATTCCCAGATAGTTAAGTTTTTGCACCTGCTTGATTTTAGTGTCCCTGACCTGTAATGTAAATTGCATTTAGGGCTCATATTTTTGCAGATGGCCATACATTCTGTCTTGTTGTAGTTTATGCTTAGTTCCTTTCTTTTTGCTCTCCTTCATGACCTTCTGTAGGAAGTTTTGTGGTTTCCTTTCCGTGTCTGCTGTCAGCACTGTGTCATCTGCGTATCTTATGTTGTTAAGATTGTGACCGCCAATGATGAATCATGGTTGAATTTCTAGTTCTCTCGGAACTGCCTCGCTGTATAGGTTGAATATGCCCGCTTGTCATTCACGACGAAAGTTCCAATACGAACATTTCAGAGTGTTTGGGTGTCAATCCGAGCACATTTCAGAAGATTCGAAAAGAGTTGGATGAGTCTAATGATGATTACGAAAATGTTTGGAGTGATCACAAATGACTTGAGATTGCGACGTTATACCTCCATTCATCTTTCCACAGGGTCTCAAACTTAACATGGAGGCCTATATCAAGTACCTTGAGGAGGTAGTGCTGCCCTGGGTCAAGAGGGTGGCTGCTGGAAGACCCTATGTCTGGCAACAGGACTCTGCACCATGCCACATAATCATGGGTTCTGCGACCACATTACCCCTTGAAACTGGCCACTTAACTCCCCAGACTGCAATCCCCTTGATTATTATGTGTGGGGCACAGTTGAGCGTGATATCAACAAAACTCCTTGTAACACCAAAGATGAATTGAAAGCAAAGGATTATGGCAGCATTCACCAATTTAAACAAAGAGACCGTCCAGGAGATTTGCAGAGATTCCAAAGTTTTTTGGAGTCCGTGGTTGAAGCCAATGGCGATTTTATTGAATAAATTTTACTCTTTATTATTTCAAGATATTTTTGTGTAATTTTGGTAAATATATCTGTTAAAATGTGACGTCAGTGTTATTTTCACTTTTTGCGTCATTTAGACAACAATTCATCCATCGCACTCAGTATATAAAATAAATATAAAGGAAAAGTGCATATTTACCAATATGACATATTGTGGTTTGCCCTAAATTAGAGTTGAACTTCGTCAATTCAATCTTTTATTTCATTTACAGATAAGATCCCTAACTTAAAAGTTGGTAACACATACAGTGTATCACAAAAGTGAGTACACCCCTTACATTTCTTCAAATATTTAAGTATATCTCTTCATGGGACAGCACTGAAAAATGAAATATGCAGCATATATAACAGAGTTAATTTCTTTTTCCCTCAAAATAATTCAAAATATAGCCATATAACTCTGTTATATATGCTGCAGACAGGCTACTTTTCATTGTGTCAAAGTGTCATTTTGTCAGTGTTGTCCCATGAAGAGATATACTTAAATATTTGAAGAAATGTGAGGGGTGTACTCACTTTTGTGATACACTGTATGTCCTGCGATGATAGGGTATTGGAAGGACATTATAACTTGCAAAATCATAAGAAATATATTGGCGAGACATCTAGAAATTTAAAACTTTTCAAGGATCAACACAGAAGAGGCCCCTGATAGGATAATCTATTAAATTCCTTAATATCACATAGAAATAAAACAAGCCACCATTTTTATTTTTAAAAAATGGTACATTATTAAAAAATGAACCCGTTACGAAGAAAAAGTTTAGAAAGAATATTAATAACCGACACACGAGAAATAACCTACAGATACACTTTTTCATATCAACAAAATTCATAAAAACCGATACTTAAAGAATGCAACTTTGATTTGACTGATTCTTTTTTACTTATCAACCTTTTGCAGGTTATTTAAAGCCAGAAAATATTTTTAGATTATAAGACATTTTTAGATAATAATGATTTAGTGCTACAATTCTTACTAATTAACCCATAGTTGGAGGATAAGAAGTAGATTCATACATTTCCCAAGGTTATTTGCGCATAAAAAACTATAATGAACCCAATGGGAATTGGAACTCGGCTCTCCGATTAAATATTTTATCCATTATACATTATACCATTATACCAGCCACACAGCCAAGCTTACAACTCCTGGTATTCCGAAACGGTCACCCATTTAGGTACTGACCAAGCTCGACGTTGCTTAAGGAATGCAAAGATCCAAACAGGTGATATATTAGACATTCATCATATCATGCAATTAAAATACATGAATAAATCCAGTTTTTAATATACAGTTTAAATGAGTTAGTATTTCAAGAATTAAACATAGACAGAGACTCCATAAGGCATACAGATGACATCTAATGAACAAATGAAAAAAGATAGAATTCAAAATGGGGCAAAAAACACCATAAAATCTACGCAATACATTTGCACAAAGAAAAAAAATTACAACACAGGATTTATAATTCTGTATTAATTCACTTCCAAAAATGTCTGATGAAGCTAAATGAATAGCGAAACCTGTTAAAAGATTTCCTGCTTGTTCATTTATATACCATATTGTATGTATATTAATACAGAGTTTTTCCTAAAAAAAATCATCCTGCCTCTTAACACTGAAAGGTCAAGTTGTAGAGAAGACTTTACCAAAGCTCACGAACGCCAGTCACGAGATACAAGCAAATCACGAACTCCAGACATATAACAGAGACCTACAATTATCATTCATATATAATAAATACCGTTAATATCATGCCATATATATTGTTCCGACTACTGAAAATAAAAACAACTGACATCGCTTCTATGTGCAAGCGTACTGCATTTATAGTATTTCCTGTTGTATTAAATTAGGTAATCTTAATTACTGTAATAATACAAATGGATAGTCTGTAATATAGTCATACATTAATAACGGACTGTGACATTGACAATGCAAAAGCAACAGAGTCTGCGCTCTTGAAAATAAGGTATTATATTACACTATCACTATAATAATAATGTATTATATTACCTCAGTGTCTCTCAACGTTTTTAAGCAATGGCACACCTAGGAGCAAATGGAAATATCATGGCAAACTTCGCAAAGTTTTAAAGAGTATAGATATAAATGTTATGAAATAAAATCATAGATTTAAAAAAATACACATACAAATATGAAGTTGCTTTACTTCTGTGCAGCTTATTTAGTGTGAAATCTGTGCCTGTTATAATATAGTTTAGAAAATATTAGGAATTTTATTAAATCAATGCTGCATATCAAAAATTTAGACAAAAATTAATTCATAATTCAGTATATCTTTGTAAATATTTTAAATTAAACAAAGAATGTTGAATACAAATATATAAAAAGATTAATATTCATTTATTCAAATAAAGAATTTTAAAAGTTAAATTAAAAAAATAAAATACTTTTTAAAAATGAATATTAAAACAAAGTATTTATAACATAATAGAAGAATATAGAAAAGAATTATTTGAAAAAAATGTTTAATACCTATTCATTTATTCAAATATTAACGTTATACCATTACTACCCCCCCACCATATATATATATATATATATATGTGCCGTAACAATATTTCACGGCACACTTAAGAAGGCAGTTGAGAATCACAGTATTAATATATTTAATTATATTATATAATAATATTAATAATAATAATATAACAATATCATAATAATATGTTATTATTAAAATATATTAATATTACCAATATGATATTTTTATAATAAAGTATTATTATATTGCAATAATGATATCACTATAATAATATTATATTTAATTATATTATATTATTATGATAATTATGCTATTACCATATTCCTAATGTATTACAACAGATTATTATATTAATAATAGATTATTATTATAATTTTGATATTATAAGTATATTATTAAAATAAATTAGATTATTATGATAATTATTATTATTGTATAATATATATTATAATTATCTACACTATTATGTTATTTTTAAAACATGCAAAAGATTAATAATAGTGAAAATACTTTAAGAAATTCGATTAAAATAAAACTAATACATAAATAATTTAAGAAAAGTAATCTGTGGAGAAGGTAACAGGAAACCCCTCCCCTATTTTTCACATGACGTCATGGCAATTCGCAGATAATAGGGAGAAAGTGGAAGTATGGTGGAGTAATGGATAGCAGCTCGGATTGAGGAGTCGGAGAGCCGAGTTCGAATTCCAGTCATTTACATTCACTTACGTGTAAATCCTCTTCTTCTAAAAGGAAAATAACGAGATAGAACTGGTCTACTGCAGAAAGAAATGGCAACCTACTTCCGGGAAAAATCTGCCTCGTCAATCATGTATCGTATCACCTGAGCGTAAATCACGCATGACACACAACTCGCTGATCTGTGGAGAAGACAACGGGATATTACTCCACTATTTTTCCCAGTAAATCATGTCAATTCATAGTTATAAAGAAAGTTGTGGAGAGTCATGATCGCCTACCATCTGCATTAAAATCCGTTACCATTGATTTTCTAATTAGAAAAAGGAAAAAGTTTAATTATATTACAATGATCATCCTTTCAGAGCAGCAAAGTGGGAATCTTTTTTTAATTATTGTTCATCCAATACAAGTCTCAGTCAAGAGCCAGTCGGAGTAAATATTACTAAATGATGTTGCTGTGAAGACATACAAGGAGGGAGGAAGAGGATGTGTAGGGAGAGATAATGGTTGACTCTTTAATGGTTGAGTCAAATAAGTGGTAGGGTCAAGAAAGCATGCTTTCGGAAGTCGTTTCTGGTGATTAAGTTGTCTGAGAGGAACTGTGTCCTTAACAAAGGAAGAAGGAATAGGGAAATGTCGACTCGGTGTGGGTGACCTGTCAGGTCCTAGCTTTCAATGTCTCTTCTCGTCTGGTCTCGTGGAACCAAAAAATTTAGATCGTCCAAGCATCATCCCTGAAAATAGCGATAGAGTAACAACGTTTTGGAACTCTGTTTCCTGGAAAGTGAGGATTCGGCGGCTACAGCACCTTATGTAGCAGCAACACCCCATTTTTAGTTTAATCTGTCTCTTGTAAAGATAGAGCATAACAAAAGGATTCAGATATTTTCTAAGAGCCCGTCCGTCTCCGTCGTCGTGAGATGGATGCCGTCACACTTCTACATCCGATGTCTTGATGTTGTCTGCAGGCCAACACCCCGCTCTCGAGATGGACGCCGTCACACGTCCACTTCCGTGTTGACCACCTTTTTTCCGGCATCTTTAGGCATGGATCATATATAGGAGAGCCACATTGGCTCTGAAGATAATGCCATAGCTGGAGGGTTTGTGCAACCTCCTTTGCGATAATATCCATCCATCCAGGTCGACCATTCTCGGGATCGAACCATCAAACCATCCTTTCTTTATCGGTATAGTATATGCTACGACAGGGCTACATACAGTTATGGATTAAGAGTTACTTTCTCCTAGGTCGGTTGCTAGGCTATTTACCCATAGATTGGGGGTGAAGAAGAAGAGGATTTATCCTTCTCCCAAGTATTAGCTTTTCCCAGGTATTAGCATATAAGTGAATGTAATGGATCAGACTGGAATTCGAACTCGGCTCTCCGATTCCCAATCCGAACCGCTATCCATTACTCCACCGTGCCTCCTATCTCCTTGCGTTAAGAAATAAATAAAAATAAGCGTAAAAGCAAGAGATGCATGAAGATCAGTCTACTGGAACTGATAAATGAAATGTCATTTCGTTTGCATACGACTTCATGCGATGTTTTATATAGCCATGTTCCAGTTTTATCAAACAAGCATATCGGAAGGCTTGATCTTCATATGAAGGGTGTTTCATTAAGACGGATTATATATAAGGGTGTTCCATTAAGATAGATCAAAGTCAGCAGTAAATAAATCAGTGTTATTGGTGAAAATTTATTTATTTCTCTATTGGATCATGTTATTTAAGTCATGGCAATTATGTATGAAAAATAATATCGCCCAAATTTCTGCCAAATCTGAAAGAAAAAGAAAAAAATCATTAGACTCTTTAACTTAATTCACATTTAAAATCGGTCCGAGTTATTGGAACACCCTTTACAACCCGTTCTTGCCTTTCACTATTTGGATAATGCCATTCCATGATAATGAAACTACACATTGATTTCCAGGCATAATCTAATGAGATAATTATGGTGGTGTTACGGGACCTTACCCATAATAACATAATAGCCTATTCCATACGTAATAAATACTGCGCCTTAAGAGGAAGCAGGGAGTTCCGTCTGAAGTCTGGAGTGAAGTCCGTCAGGAGTCAGTCTGTCGAGTCAGAGGCAGTCCGAAAATATAGTCCGAAAGTCGCGTCAGACAATTACTACTAAACCTGATTGTTCATACTAACACTTTCTACTTCTCTGTATATATTCCTGTTTGTAATATATCTGTGTTATTCCATATCCGTGTGCGAGTTCTTCTTTATTGGTTCTACCTTGGACTATCCGTGGTACAAGGAACCGGACCATAACAGGTGGTTTTTAGTGGTCCGTTTTCTACGGCTTTCTCAATCCTTTGCAGGTTATTTAAAGCCAGAAATATTTTTAGAAATGAAGAAGAAGAAGAAGAAGAAGGAGGAGGAGGAGGAAGGAGGAGGAGGAGAGGAAGGAGGAGGAGGAGAAGGAGGGAAAGAAGAAGAGGGAGAAGGAGAAGTAGCAGGGAAAGAAAAAGAAGGATAAAGAAGGATTGTTTCCTTTTCTACGGCTTATCAATCCTTTGCGGGTTATTATTTAAGATATTTACAGATTGTAACAATGTTTTGATTAGAATCAATGAGGCTGCAGTTACAGAGTTATCTGCTTTTCACAGTGTCCACCGTCCTTAGAAATTGTCCGATTGATTCGTTTTCTCCGGCTTATCAACCCTTTGCAAGTTATTTAATGCCAGAAAATATTTTTAGAAATAAAGAAGAAGAAGAAGAAAAAGAAGAAGAAGAATGATTGATTCAATCATTGATTAATTTTTCACGGTTTATCAACCCTTTACAGGATATTCAAAGCCAGAAAATACTTTTAGATTGTAAGAATTGTTTTTGAGGATAATAATGATTTAATGATAGAAGTCTTCCTATTTAACACATAGACAGAGGGAGAATGATTGTGTTCAGGTCTTTCTAAAAGTTATTTGCGCGTAAGTAAATGTAACGAACACAACGGAAATTGGAACTCGGCTCTCCGATATACAATTCCTAGCCATAATCCATTACACCATCTGCACATCCAAGCTTATAGCACCTGGTTTTCCATCAATGGACTGAATACGCTGAATTTAGCTTAACTTCGGTGATCTTACGGGAAACGGTGTTTCAACATGATGTGGCCTTAATCCATATATATATATATATATATATATATATATATATATATAATTAATAAAAAAATAAATAAAAAATTACCTCATATGGAGAATAGTCAATTTCGGCATACGATGATTTTTTTATTTCTCTTTTAATTTTAAATTAAAAATTCATTTATTATATAACCAAAATTAGTGTCGTAAGTTTAATATTCGCGTTTATTTTAATAAAACTTCTCTTTAAGACAGATATCTTACACCCTCCCCTGACCCCTGTCTCTCTCTTGCTTCTCGTCTGACTGAAATATTGAAATATATAAATTCTATTTTCGGCTTATTGGATTTCGGCTGATTTGTTAGCTTTAACAGTAAAATTGTACTTCCTAACTCATCTAACTTTATAGACACGAACTCATTTCAGACCAGAGTTGATAAAACAGACGACCGACATCATCGTCTGCCGAAATAGGCTATTCCCCATGTGAGGTAATTTTGGATTTATTTGTTTATTAATTATATTGCTCTGTATTAATAAAAATATCGAGCTCTTTTTTCTAGCTTTACTATATATATATATATATATATATATATATGAATGACTGGTGTGTTTATGTGGAAATAAATATGCAAAAATTCGCCCTTCTCTCTGCCGGGCATCAATGGGCTAGGGGTTAGAACCGCCGACTAATACCAAATCGGTTTGCGGCCCCGGCCTGAAGCCTATCCACACTGATTAGCTGTGATACAGCGAAACAGTCTGTTTATGGATGATTATATATATATATATATATATATATATATATATATATATATATATATATATATATGTATGTGTGTATAGTCATACACAGACAGACTGTTTTGCTGTATCATGATTTCGCTGTGGATGACTACATATATATATATATATGAACAGGCAGAGATAGACTGTTGTACAAGCAAAGAAAGAAAAGTTTGTTTTCTTAATCATATTCTTTTGTTGTTCTCTCACGTTAATAATGATTTTCCCATACTCATTTTCTTTCACACACATTGCGTCTTAGCGGTTTTGTTGCCTTGCTTGGGAATAAATGATTCAAAAAACGAAAATAACGGAATGACAGATTAACGGAGATATACAAGAAAGTATGAACTGGCTTATCTCTATGTAAATAGATTACGATAGATAATAAGAAAAAATGGGATGCATAGATCTGTCGGATAAAGCTATATTTTTAACTCTCGTTTGTTTCTTCCTACATATATCTAATCCATAACATTCTCACTCTCTGTCTTACGTTCTCGTTCACTCCCTCCTGAACGCCAATCTCCCGTAGCCACCACCTACCTTCCCTGTGGCATATATTGGCATTCAACTGGTAGCAAAGCATGACGTCAGGGAACGGCGCCACCGGTTCGCGAAGCGTCACGTGACCGTGAGTCATGACTCTGTCCCTGCCATGACCCAACCCTTCCTTTTACTCTCTCGCTCCCTTGCACAGACCGCACACCCCAGCCAGTACGTCAAAAGTGAACCCACTCGTGACAGACTGGTCGACTATTAAGTTGATACATTGCAAAATCAAAATCGAAAGTGAAAGCGAAAGTGAAAATGAAAGTGAAACCATATTTTCATGCAGTCAGTGAGGAAATGTTTCTATAACAAACTACGTATAAAAAGAATACTTCTTGGTGACATTCTTTGATTCTTCTGTCCTTCTGATTCGTGAACAATTGCTAATAAGATGATATGTTTAAATGTAGATAGTTAACAACTTTGCTAAGGTTGGCAAAGGCACACAAAAGCGGGTCACCGTATTAGGGTCAAAATCAATACACTAGCAATGAACTACGAAGCAAAATTGTTAACCTTGCTATAATACAGACACCCTCAAATATTTTGTAAACTGAGCTTTGACAAAAAGCCAAAATATATAGCAACCTATAATAATGGAACACATTAAAAATGGTTTGTGAAATAAACTTAGAAGAAATCACTTTAAAGCAGGCAACACTTAATAAGTTTGGCACAGGGTCACAATAGTAGATCACTTAGTGGGGGGTGGGACTTGTTAAAAACTAATAGTAATAATGGTAATGATGAAAATCGTCGCTTCCTCTATGGAAACGGTTATTTTTCTTTTATTTCTTTTGCTGTAAATATTTTACGGTCATTATTTTTAATTTAAATTTTGACGTCCGATGTAGCTAAATCTTGATTTATCCTGTTGAGTTTCTTTTTCACTTATTCTTGTTATTGTTATTTGTGATTGGTTTGTTCTTGGTCAAGGGAAACTTGTTTGCAATTTAATGATGATTGGTGTCTTCTATAGTCTATCATGTTCGAGGGACAATAACGATTGCTATGTGCCTTGGCCGTAGACCAGATTGTACTGCACTGATAATTGCGCCATTCTTTCGCTCATTTTAGTCTGTAAGCATTTTAGTCACAGTTTGTGTGATAAGATTTCATTTATAAAATCTTTCTCCTAATACATTTTTTTCAGAAAAGTAGACTTATCAAGTTCACTAACTTTTGTCGCTCAATCGCTATAACTCATAGGAGTACCTTTCCTAACATGTTGCTTCATGTAAACGTTAAACATCTTGATTATACAGGTTGTCTATAAAGTCACTTTACAATTTAAAAAATGATTACAAAAGCAAATGAACAGACAAATATGTGGAAATTGTTACAAAATGAATAATAAACATTGAAATTTTTTAAACTAATTTAATCCGCCTCTATATAGGAACCATTAGTTGCACGTAGCAAATGAAGACAGTATTCAATGTCATATTCGCTGTAGCTTAGCCACATCAATGGTGGCAATAGCATCAATGATCTTTTGCTTTAGATCAGTGATGTCTCGTATCTTTGTTCGATACATGATATCTTTAACATAACCTCATAGAAAGAAGTCTAGGAGGTGATATCTGGGGAATGAGGTGGACAAGAAATTAGGCAGACCTTTCGAATCTAGCTGTCTGGGACTGTTCATTTAATAGTATCTCTTTCATCAAAAGTTTACCTGAAATACAAAAATGCAATCTGATTAAGAACTTTGATCACTAATGAGTACATAGAAGAAATCTGATTAAAATATTTCACCAGTTGCCTTTGTAATATATTTTTTTAAATTATAAAGAGACTTTATGGACACCATGTATTATTTTCCTTTCAATTGCATGAGCTACCCCTTTAAATTGTTGCCGTTCTTGAAACTCTTGGAGCGTTCTTTTTTTGTTTTTGTTGAGGCTCTTTGTGATTTTATAGTGACAATCTTCATGATCTAATATAGGTTTCTATTCTTTAAGAAGCAAAATATTTCATTCGCTATAAGCCGTTTTTAATCTTTGATCTGAGAAAGCAGTTGTATCTAATCGACAATTTGAACATCTCAGAATCAATTGGGCTTCATGCATGATAGCTGTCTTGATGAGGGTTCAGATGTAAAGAGGTTATTTAAGAATGTGAATCGAGTTCTCATGTGTCTTGCTAAATTAGGTTGTTAAATATTAAACAACGACAAACAACCGAAAGGTCCCAGTAATGGCAGAATTGAAGAAGGACACCACCTGATAATTGATCACACAATTCTAGCCCTGCGAATCACGGCATCACCCAGCAACGGTTACAGAAATAGAAGACTTCACAATTCTATGGGATTACACCATCTTTACAGACAGGGAAGATTGAAGAATAGGCCGGACGTAATTGTTAAAAACAGAAAGAAAAAGACTTGCCTTCTAATTGATATGGCTTGCCCAGCAGACTGTAACATAGCAACCGAAGAATTTGAAAAACTATCGAAGTATAAAGACCTGGAAATCGAAATAGAAAAAATGTGGAAACAAGAATAGTACCAGTCATAGAAGGTGCGCTTGGAATGATAAGAAAAAGGAACGCAACAACACATTGAAAAGAGAAATACAAAAAATTGTCTTGATAAGTACAGCCCACGTACTAAGGAGAATTTTGTCTATGTAATACTAGGGATGTTATGGGTGTTAGAAAAATAAATCATGAAATGTAGCCATAAGAACACACCATTACCTGGCTTAGGTCTTCCCGCAGACTTGGTAGGTAGGGTGACCAGAGCAGAAATCGAAAGATGATGATGATGATGATGATGATGATGATGATGATGATGATGATGATGATGACAGGAAACAGAGAGGAGAGTGGGGGAACACTGCAGTCATCTTGGGTCACAAAAGCCTTATGGGTTAGCAAAATATGTTTTCCAAAATCTAAAGGTTAGCATGACAATAATAATTTTTATCAAAATGAAAAGAGTTAGCAAAAGTTGCTTTCTAAATGCTAAGCAAAGTATTAAAAAAACATGGGTAATTCATTAGATACAAAAGAAGACTGTTCCTTGGCTTATTATGCTGATTCTCCGATGGAGCTCGAATTCATTTACACTTTGCTCCTTAAACAGCGCTACGAAAATGGATCTGCTTACTATATATTTAAATGTTGTAAATGTACTTGGTAACTATCTGTCGGTAATAGTAAACAGATTCTTCTCTTTCTCACACTTTCCCCATTTCTCTCTCTCTCTTTCTCTCTCTATCTCTCTCTCTTTCTCTCTCGTTCAATTCACAGACTTCACTCTTTACCCGACGGTGACCATCTCTTACAAGTGACAGGTAGATGTGAAGAAAATATTTGCTTTCTTCCTTTCTCTCTTTCGGGTAGAACCATCATCGCTAGAATCTTTTTGTGGCTTCACCTTTTCATACAAAAATGTCTGACTTTTGTACCTTACATGTTATATTCCCGTTCCTCGATGAACCTATCTTTTCAAGGTGATAAACATTCGGCCATTCAATCAATTCTTCCAAGTTCATCGATTTGACGTTCATTTACTTTATCTATTTTTCTTTTTTCTTTCTCGAAAATTATTTCTGTCTGCAGTGGAAATTACCTGTTTTATCTTTGCTTCATTGTATCGTCTGTTTGTTTGAATGACGACGTCTGGCGAATAATTAGAAACAATGGGAGGGAATATCTATCTATCTATCTATCTATCTATCTATCTATCCCGAACAGTTCAAGATCTATCATGACCAGTTCAATCTATCTCTCTCTCTTTCTTTCTTTCTATCACGACCAATTCACTATCTATCTATCTATCTATCTATCTATCTATCTATCTATCTATCTATCTTACACTGTCCATATCTATCAATCAATCTTAGATTGTTTATATCTATCTATCTATCTATCTTAGTTTGTTCATATCTATCTATCTATCTATCTATATACCTACCTATCTATCTATCTATCTTACACTGTCCATATCGAACAGTTCAAGATCTATCACGACCAGTTCAATCTCTCTCTTTCTTTATTTATTTATTTATTTATTTCTTCCTTTCTTTCTTTCTATCACGACCAATTCAATATCTATCTATCTATCTATCTATCTATCTATCTATCTATCTATCTATCTATCTATCTCGAACAGTTCAAGATCTATTTTCTTTCAGCTCAATTTTTTTTCTTTCTTTCTTTCTTTCTTTCTTTCTTTCTTTCTTTCTTTCAACATTCTTTCACGATCTATCTATCTATCTATCTATCTATCTATCTATCTATCTATCTATCTATCACGACCAATTCAATCTCTCTCTCTTTCTTTTTTTGTATATCTATCTATCTATCTATCTATCTATCTATCTATCTATCTATCTATCTATCTGTTCATAAATATCTCTCTAGCTCTGTTATCTCTCGCTTCTCTCAAGTTTGAATCTCTCCTTGTTCTGGTCCCATGTGAATCTGAAATGTTGCATTATTACAGCATTGAAAGACTACATATACTAATATTGAAAATACATTGACGAATATTTAAAACTTCCTTATAAAAATTAAGGAAATTATTTTTTTCGATAGGTGATTAATTTATTTTACTTGGCGCCTATATATATATATATATATATATATATATATATATATATATATATATATATATATATATATTGGCAACATATTTCCATTTGAGCATGTTTGGTTCTAACTACAAGCATGAGGAAAAAAAAACTTCTAAAGAGACTCATAAACGCTACTATATCCCCCAAATGACCCAACTCGAAAAATAAAATAAATTGTAGACTATTCTAGATTTAATAAAACCATCCCAGTCACCCATAACAACTCTTATCCGTCATCCAGCGTCTTACAAATGACCGTATATCAATTTAAATGTTCTTTGGTTGATTGCATCTCTGATTAAAATATTAATACATATGTTGGTTTTGCAACAACGACGATGACGAGAAGGCTTACGTTTCACTAGAACGATTATAGTTTAATCTCACAACATTTAAAGGAACACTCATGTCCACAAACACAGTTTAGACAGATATTAGTCAAAAATGCCTCAGTGCTCCATCAAGATAATAATAAGCAAAAACCTTAAATTCTGAAAGCACTTTATAGAAGAGAATTCTGGTCAAAAACAAAGTCAACTACAAGTATAGCAACAAAGTTCTTAAATGTTTCTAGCAGCAAAGTGTTATATAAAAATACTAAATTAAATCTTGGTTAAATTTGGTTTGAAAAAAAAATCTTTTAAAAAAAATCACATGTTATCTCCCTTGCATTGAAGAAAAATATTTTGAATTTACGGTGATAACACGTCCATAGATATACAATTTTTCTTAATTTTCTACAACCACCAATTAATTCGTGGAATTGAAAGAATCAAAACTAAAATAAATAGACATAATACGTCTAAATTATTTAACCAATGCTTGAATATATATATAAATATATAAATATATATATATACAGGCAAACCTCTCATCTACGGACCCCCATCAACGAACTTCGGATGCAAAGGACAAATTATGTAGGCAAAACAAAAAATATCTGCCGAAAAAAAAACTTCCAAATCGTCAGCAATGTATTTCAAAATTTGTGGGCTTAGCAGAACGCGTCGTGTTAGTTCTCAAAGTGACCGCTTAGCGGCGCTGGCAGCCTTTCAATTGTAAACAAAGACGGTGTACAGTATATAAAGTACGATACATGCGTAACTGTGAGAAATGTGTTATTTTTATTATTTTGATTACTATATCTATATTAAGTATACATTTATTTATGCTATATATACATGTTTATAGTATTTACATTATGTTCATAACTACTGGAAGTTACTATAGTGGCTTTGTAACTGAAAAATAATCCCCAAATCATTATCTGGCACAGCACGATCTTCCTAACAATATTCTTACAGTTGTAAAAAGTTAATGACTGCCCTGTTAAAAGAACTATTCGATATATGAATGAGGACATTTAATGACAAGGGAAATGTGCTTTGTAAACTAGTAAATATCTTTGTTGACTGTAAGCTTAGTGACTGAAGTAGTTGGGTATTTCACACCAGTGTCTAGTTCTGGATATGACGATAAACTGCCCCCAGCCGCTAATCGGGAGATTGGGGATTTTGAGAAGCGTAGAACCACCTGTTGTTCCGAAATACACCCTAAACCGATTTCGTAGCACCTATTAAAATAGGGAAGCCCCAAACAAAAACAAAAACAAAATCCTACAAAAGTATAAAGATATATTTTTTATACTAAAGATACCAGAAATACATTTTTATATAAAAAAGAGTACCAACAATAACTATTTCTAGTAGAGTTGCCAACAATACATTTCATCTGTAGTTGAAAGCATACGATTGTGTTCAAAATATTTAGATTTCGGCATTAACTAACCCATAGAGGTTTTGATATGCCGCTAAACAAAATCAATCAACCAACACCAGTGATACTTGGTCGATATTTGAACCCAAATAAAAACGAGTATTTTCTATGTTGGCAAGACATGAAGGTTTTTCGTATTTGAGCCCTTTCTCTTTTGCCCACAATTCTCCTTTCAGTTTCCTTAATCTCTAACCACAAAAAAATGCATCCGGATCCACAATTATTGCCACTCAATAGCCCCTCCTAGAATAATTCGAAACATTTCTAAACTTTCTAAACTTTCTTTCGTTTAAAACAAGCTCTGTCTTGTCTACCAAAATTGATGAACTACAACTATCCTCATGATTCCATCTTGTTTGTTTCCAAATAAAAAATATTCTCCTTCTTCAAGCCCGTAGGTTTGTATCTTTCTTTATCGTGATATCCACTCCCTATGAGTCATTTAATTTACAAATTTAATTTTCTGGGTAGCCTTGGTATATATATATATATATATATATATATATATATATACTATTAAAATCTATTACTGGTATTTTTATTATAAAAATGTATTTTTATTATAAAAATGTATTTTTATACTTTTATAGTGTTTTGATCCCAGTTTGGTATGTTCACTATTTGCCCATAGCTGGCACCCTAGCAGGTACTACCACCCCGCGCCAGGATGGACCTAGGAACACTAGCAATTAAGAGGTAGTTCCACGCTCCTCAAAACCTCCCAATCTTACTGTAGGATGTTATTTTTTCGTCACACCCAGGAAGGCTTCATCATGTCGTCCATACACTTGTAAGTAAATATAAATGCATTGAATGTGCTAATTTCCCACATAGATTTTCCTGGTACATTCGGTCACGTCTATCAACGGCTTGCTCAACTGCCGGTGTCACCAATTCTCTATACGGCACTGAAAAACATATTGTCTCATTCGAAAAGATCATTTGCGGATTATTATATGATTGGTTTTGGAGTAATTAGTTCTAAGCTATCGTCATTCAAATATATCACTTTTCAATTATTGAGTATTTTAATGAAAATAGGATGAAATACTGAATATTTTTCCGTAATGTATGACTTTTATTTTAAGAAAGGTAAAAAATGTAATCAGTATGTTATATTATTAAATATTTAAATGCTTCTTTTTTTTATTTTTTATAAAAAAGAAAAATTTAAATATTCGGTAAATATTTCGATATACAGTTTGATATCCCAAATTCAACATTTAATTCTCTCCCTAAAGTTCAAAAGTTTGAAGCCACCAACAGAGTTATTATGGGGTGAACAAGACGAAAGTGTGAAAAAAACTGAAAAGAACCTCTTAGAGTCATTGAAAAAAAGAATAGAATTAATTATTAAACTTATACTTTGAGAAACTTTTGCAATAATTGCCAAAAAAATGTGCTGCAGTAATCAAGGCTAAAGAAGGATTTTTTGATGAGAGCAAATTTACTCATAATTTTTTTTTTTTTTTTGTGATAATAACATTTCTAATAAAAAATCATGATCACTTTTTTAACCATATATATTTTTCTCTTATTTAAAATAAAAAAAAAACAACTACTTTGGAGGCCAATTTAAGAAATTACCAGGGTTGGCCTCAAACTTTTGAACTGTAGTTTATATATCTCGATATTTAATTATTTCTCCATCTCTCTCCCACTCCTCAAAGCCTCTTGATAATGTTGTTGTAATCATGCCAATATAGGTACAATCTTTCAAAGGATATTTAAACTGATATAGGTTTTTTGGGGTTTTTTTTCAAGACACTAGTTGACGGAGAAGAGTTATTACGTATTTGTTGTCTTAAATTTACTATAGTATATAATTAGTTTTATTTTTTACTAGGATCATTGGGGAATATACAATATTAGTATATTCATTTGTCGGATACAAGTTCTATTGCAAAATGTTTTATAGGAATAAAGTGTCGCTGCCGACACTTGAGTTTGAACATATATCGCCAGTGAGCAAACACAGGCGATCCCATTATTGAGTTAAGTAGACCATGTGACCATAAAGGAAACGCATAGGAGATTCATAAAGATTATGGTGTAATCTTGGTACCACATGCTGCTGAAGAAGCCTTTTGTAAATCTCAGCATTGATATTGCCATGTACGCGGGTGATAGGGCCAGCTCCTGCAGATGAAATCATTCCCCACACCATCACACTGCCGCCACCAAACTTATCGGTTTTCTTGACACATTAAGAAGACAGTCTTTCACCTGTTCTACGGCGTACGTAAGTTTTGCCCTGTGAATCAAATATAGTAAACTTGGACTCGTCACTGAAATGAACTGTATCCCATTGTGCGTCAGTGCAAACAGCAGTTTCAAAACGGTTTTTTGTAGATATTCTAACAATTCTTTGATCTTCTCTTTGCGATAGTTTTGGAGGTCTGTCGGCTTTTCGTTTTGCATCTAACGTTTTATCGGTTTTATACCTGCTAATTACACGATGAACGACACTTTTAGACCTATGAACAATATCAGAAATTTCTGAAATTGACTTTTTTCATTGATAGCTAGCGATAATGATTTTTTTTTTCTTCAAAAGAGAGAGTTTTGCGTGTAGAATTTGTCATATTGCTTAAAAATAAAGTTCTAATGATAAATGAACTTTTACTTATTGTTGAAAAGTTCCATCGTGTTTTTTTTAGCAATGTAAATTAAAAGTTTATGCAAATTATTAACATCGTTCCTTAACTTTTGTCCAGTAGATTATTTCCTTTGTTCCATTTAATCTTTATTTTAAAAAAAAAAACCTGTTATGTAAATTTTTGTAACTTTGTATAATATTAATGCATTACACCCTAATCTTTATTCGGTAAAAATTTCATTGCTAATCATGCATTACTTTTTAAGTAATACACATATTTATGTCTTTGTTGTTTCCGTTCCTTATATTATGGCCACTACTGTATATATATACACACACACACACACATATATATATATAGGGAGAGAAAGAGAGAGTGAGAGAGAGAGAGAGAGAGAAAT